GCAGCACGCAGGCAAGGCAGAGCAGCGCGCAGGCGGCAGGACAACGCGACGGGTAGGGCGGCCCGCAGGGACTAGGGAAGCACGCAAGGCAGGGCGGGGTGGCGCACGGCCAGGGAAGGGCGGCGCGCGACGAGAGCAGGGCGGCGCGCTGCCAGCAGGGTGACGCGCGGGCAGGGAAGGGCGGCGCACGGGCAGCAGGGCGGCGTGCGGGCAGGGCAGGGTAGCGCGGCTGCCAGCAGGGTAGCGTGCGGGCAGAGAGGGCAGCGTGCGGGCCCTAGAGCGGCGTGACGCGCGGCCAGCAGGGCGGCGCGACGGGCAGTAGGGTGACGCGCGCGGCTAGCAGTGCGGCGCGATGGGCAGCAGGGCGGCGCGATGTGCATTGCGTTGTACCCCTTATGGGCTACCCCACTACAGCCTACACAACAAGAGTATCATAACATTTTGACAGGCCCCTGGCCGATATGATGGGGAGGAAGTGGAGGAGTGGGTGGCAGGCCATGATTAGGGACTGTGATGTGGTATGCTGCAGCATGCATGCACAGTGATCATTGAACAATCAACCCTGTGTGGATTTATGGATATCTTAACCTGTTGAATTGTTAGTGTGGGCACGAAAATGAACAAGAGAACTCCAATTGAAGTAGTATCTAGGCTCGAGGGGGGTATAGTAATATCACGCCCTCAAGGGGGGGTTATAGTGGAAACCTGCCAAAATAAGAGACCCATCCCCGTATTACAAACCCAAGGGTCTTGCTCTCCGGGGGGTCTTATATTCGGGAGAATACGGTAATTGCAGCTACGTCTACTGTGAAGGTCATATCTAGTTCAATTATACTAATGTGATGGTAATGATTTTTTTGACAACTAGGTCGTTTCTATGATTCACTATGGTGTGTTTCACTACCGTATAATATGCGCATAATATGACGAGATGGATATAATAATTGGTGAATATAGTTGAATTAGAATCATATCATATGAAATATTATATTGTAAGATATGATATGATAAATGATAAATGCATGCCTTATGTTTGATATGATATAATGATAGAGATGCGCAAAACCTAACGACCCAAAAGCTGTGCTACCGCATCCCCTGCCTAGCATGGGGGGAGCTAATAGCATTCACATGAAACAACACAATCTGTAAACTCCAAAAAGATGGTCAACCCTGTCAAGAATGAAAGTGTTGGTTTGACTAAGGTTGGTTGGGGTACATAAACCTAACCCTAACAGTTGTACCCCCTATAATACACCTTACTAAGACTACACTATTTGACACACCCCCATAGTCTAAGTGAGGGGTGTCAAGAAAAGCCGAAAGTGTACGGTCACAAGACCGGTCAAAAAGAAACAAAGCTCAGGGTGGATCACAACGTCACCACACACTCCGAGCACAAGCAAAAGAGCCACAAGGCTAGTTCAAGAGTTCACAGACATATATATAAAGTGTACAAACAAAGCAAGGAGAGAACTCACGACTATGCAAGGCGAGAACCTGTGTCAACGAGACCTAACTGCACACAACACCTTTGGTGGTCACAAGGCGGCAAGGCCTTGGTGAAGTTGTCTACGGTGTTGGCCTCGGACTCAACAAAGTCAAAGCGAGCATGTCTACACCTCTCCAACTCTCGCAGAAGAAAGTACCTGACGTTAATGTGCTTCACTCTGCTCTCCAGTCGCGGCTCTCGACAGAGGAGAATCGTCGCCTTGTTGTCAGAGAACAAGGTCGGTGCAGAGCTCGGCCGCTCACCAAGGTCAGTGAGCAAAAACGCCAGCCAGCGCAGCTCCTGTGCCGCCATGGCTCCAGCGTAGATCTCAGCCTCAGCTGTAGAGGTCGAGACCGAGGAGGAATGTGCGGACCTTCACGAAACAGCTCCAGAGCCCAGGCTGAAGCAGTACCCCTAAGTAGACCTGTGAGTCTCAGCGTCGTCAGCGTAAGAAGAGTCACAGTGACCAGTAAGCACGACGTCCTGTTTCCCTCCAAGAACCAGCCCCACGCCTGATGTCGTCGCAACCACCCTTACAGCAGCTGTCCAGTGAACTGGACGATGTTTCTCTGGCGCAACAAAGCGAGCAACGATGCTGAGAAGGAAGGCTAGGTCCGGGCGAGTACCTACATGAGGCAGCCCACAAGCTCTGTGTAGGGACCACTAGGCTCAAACAGCTTGTCAGGAAAGGGTCCATTGAGTCTGTGGTCAATGGTAAGAGGTGTGCGCTGTACTATGGAGTGTTGAAGCTCGAACGTTAAAGGACCTGCTGCACCATGTGTGACTGTGAGAGTGTAATGGTGCGAGCAGCTCTGTCCCTGGTGATCTGCAGGCCAAGGTAGTGGTGCAGCTCACCAAGGTCAGTGCACGTGTGTCTCTTCTGCAGTTCGCGCTTCACGTCAGCCAAAGCAACCCTGTCAGCAGTGGCAAAAACCAGGTCATCGACGTAGACCAATACAAAGAACGGGTGTGGAGCTAGGACGAACGAACAGCGACGGGTCAGCAGAAGACGTCTCAAAACCGAGGTCAGACAGGGTAGAACGAAGGGTGTCGTGCTAGTCGCGACGAGCCTGCCGGAGGCCGTAGACCGGTCATCTGAGCCTCCACTGGGTCCCAGGAGGGAAAGTGCCAGTGAAGGCAGAGGGACGACGCAACCAGACCTCCTCGTGTAGGCTACCCTGAAGGAAAGCAGTAGAAAAGTGAAGGAAATGTAGCTCGTAATCTCTCGTGCTGCTACGTGCAGTAATACATGAAGAGTAGTCATCTTCGGGGTAGGCGCGAAGGTCTGAAAGAAGTCAACTCCCTCGTGCTGACTGAAACCTCTAGCCACATAGCGCGCCTTGAAGACTGGAGGAGATCCCGGTGGCCGCTTCACCCTGAAGATCCACATGCCATCGACTACGTTCGCCCCAGGGGGGAAAACCTTGTCGACGTAGGTGCCTGTGGATCTGTAGGAGGCCATCTCTGAGTCCATGGCAGCTCTCCACTGAGAGGCCCAAGGCCTTGACACTGCCTCAGCGTAAGTGCGAGGAGTCGGTATGTCAAGGGCGTCGGGGTCTCCCTCAAGCCGAACAGCATGGCACAGAGATGCGGGGAAGCAGCTGGCAGGAACTTCAGCTCAAACTGCCTGTCCTCTAGGGCGTCACAGCCAAGGGCAGACTCACCCTCGACGGCCAGAGGACTGGTAGGAGGAGCAGCCACAAGACTGGTAGCCTAGTCAAGGCGGCGAGTAGAGGCAAACGCAGTGACAGCGGCGGTAAGGGCGGAGACAGAGGACAGGGATGCACGAGGGTTGGTAACAAGAGAGGCGAGAACACGAGAGAGAATAGGACGGTACGTATGGTCATATTCAGTGACAGGAGTAGAGAGGGAAGCAGTGAGAGGGGACTCAGGAGGAGAAGGAAGCACAGACGGAGACGAACGAGGTGGACTAGAATGAAGCAAGGCAGTACGAAGGTCAGTGAAGGGAACAGGAGATGAGGGACAAGCACGAGGAGAGCAACGAGAAGGGGAGGGATCAAGAGGAGGAAGCCGAGGCCCAGAGACGGGAGGAGAGGAAGAGGGGAGACCGAGGGCCCGAAGACCAGAGACAGGAGGAGGAGGTGTGGGCTGCTGCTGCGGCTGCTGCAACTCTAGCTGCTGCTGCTGCTGCTCCTCCGGCTGCGGCTGCGGCTGCTGCTGCGGCTCCAGCTGCAATTGTTGCTGCTGTCGCTGCTGCTGCTCCTCCAACCGCTGTAGCTCAAGCTGCTGCCGCTCCACCTCTCTCTCCTCACGCTCCAACTCCAACTGCTCCTCACGGGCACGACGAACACGGGCCTGGTGCCGGGTCGGGTAGGGGTGGGGGGGAGGAGTAGTGTCTGGAGCGGTGGTACCCCCGGGACTGCTCTCCAAAGCACCAGTCGCACCACCCCCAGAGCCAGCACCACCAGAAGTAACAGGGTCTGTCCCAGACTCTCCAGGGCCAGCAGAGGGTGCACCCCCAGTTGTAGCACCCCCAGGGACAACTCCACTAACACCAGCTCCCCGAAGACTAGAGTCTCCTGCAGGCACGGCTCAGCTCCAACTCCAGCACCCCCAGAACCAGGACCACGCTCAGGTACACTCTCTGCTCCAAATCCAACACCTCTAGAGCTAGCACCTCCAGGATCCTCGCCACGAAAACTAGCTCCCGCAGGGTCTGCTGTAGAATGGGAGGAGGACTGCGGGGAAGGAGGCTGCACCTGAGGGGCTACCAAAAGGGGAGGGTTAGCGTAGGACACACTTGACAGGGGGGGAGGCTGTACCGGGGGAGCAGGAGGGGGAGCGGAAGTCAGGAAGAGAGGGGGAGGAGGAACCGGGAGACCTCGACAGGGGTACCTGACGTAGTAGGTGACGGACGCGTCGAAATGGACGTCACGAGAGTAAAAGAACCGGTGAAGGGGATGGTAAAATGTGAGAAAAGAGGAGTCCTCAGGGAAACCAAGGAGAACACAGGGAACAGCCCGAGGCGAGATCTTGTCCGCGGAGGTGTCGCGAACAAGTGTCAAGCAACTCCCGACACGAAAACGCGACGCAGCACCAGGGGACCCGGTCCAAAGACTGGTCGGTGAAACCTCTGGCCGAGAGACACGTGGCCAGAGGTTTAGCTGGTGAGTGGCGTTTCGAACCACAAAGGCAAAAAAAAATGGGGGGCACGAGTGTGAGTCATGGAGGTGCGGCGCGCAACAACCCCATTCCGCTGTGGGGACTCTGGAAGCATCCAGGACTGACGGTTGCCCTGCTCGCGACAGATTCCAGCAAGTATGCTGGGGCGAAACTCACCCCCACGGTCGGAGTGAAGACAGCTGACACGACGACCACGAGTGTCCGCAGTGGTAAGTAACCACCGGATCAGCGTAGAAGTCACGTCGGACTTCTTCGCCAAGGGGAACACTGTGGTGTAGCGGGAGTAGTCGTGAACGACCACAAGAGTGAAACTCTCTCGCTCAAGGCCAGACGAAGGGAGGAGGAGTGAGGGGTGGCACGCAGCTTACCCTCGACGCAGGGACCGCAGGATGGGGCAAGCGAAGGCGATAGCGACGGCAAGACTCGTGGAAGGCCTAAGACAAGACGCTGAGTAGACATAGTGCGCAGACGAGGAATGGACGGGTGCCCCATCCGGTGGTGCCACAGGACGGTGGGGTGGGCAAGGGACCGGCAGGAGCAAGACGCAGCAACTGGACCAGACACTGCTACCTGGGGAGACGCGGGAACCGACGGGGGGTAGTGACAAGGGTCGGGGGCAGTATCTGCTGTTGCTGCTGCTGCTGCCGCCGCCGCCGCCGCTGCCGCTGCTGCTGCTGCTGCTGCTGCTGCTGCTGCTGCTGCTGCTGCTGCTGCTGCTGCTGCTGCTGCTGCTGCTGCTGCTGCTGCTGCTGCTGCTGCTGCTGCTGCTGCTGCTGCTGCTGCTGCTGCTGCTGCTGCTGCTGCTGCTGCTGCTGCTGCTGCTGCTGCTGCTGCTGCTGCTGCTGCTGCTGCTGCTGCTGCTGCTGCTGCTGCTGCTGCTGCTGCTGCTGCTGCTGCTGCTGCTGCTGCTGCTGCTATGGCTGCTGCTGCTGCTGCAGCTGCTGCCCTCGAGGGCCAGTGTGAAGTGTGTAGAGACCAGAGCCTGGCTCAGCGGTAAAGGTTGCCAGAGGCGCATACGTGCCTCCGTCGACACAAACCGCAGTCTTGCTAGAAGGTTCAATCCACACACCCAAGTGCTGACTCACGAGTGGCCTCACACCCACCAAGTTCCTCGAGAACGAGGGGACGTGGAAGCCGGTCAGAGAACCGGAGGGAACAGCCGGACACCGAAGCGTAGTAGTGTAGCGAGCAGTGACTGGTCCCAAAGTGGGATCAGCCAGTGCCACGGAGACCGGTGTAGCAAGCGGGGTAAGTGTCTTGTGGTCGCAAAAGAAACAGTGCGAAGCTCTGGATTCCAAAATGAAAGACAGCAAAGCGTCCTCTGGAGCAACTCCTGGACTGCTGTCTACACAAGTACCTACACTAGCAACAGGGATCTCATCAAGACTAGCACCTAAGCTAACAACACTCGAGTAAACAGAGTCAGAAGCACTAGAATCAACAACAGCATACATAGCATGAGGAGTTCCTAAGAGATCAACCAACTGAGAAGCCGACATGCCCCACAGAGCGGGGCCGTACATCTGAACAAGGGGAAGCCAGTCAAGGGCAGGGCCGTCAACGCCATAGGTTAACCGAACCGTGTCAGTGAGCTGAGCAAAGCACTGACCCGGTGGGTGGCTGCGGCCCCAAGGCTGGCCTCGGCGGGCACATTGGAACGTGATAGGTGCAGGGAGGGTGGACGGCGATACGCGACAGCTGATGCGGTCCTGACCTCTGCCCAAAAGCCTTCTGCTGCCTCTGCTGCTGCTGTGGCTGCTGCGAGGGGAGTGGCTGCTGCTGATGCCGCTGCTGCCGCTGAGTCAGGTACCAAGCCGCCACTCCAGCACCTGCAGCTGGCGGACCAGTAGGTGCCTGACGAACCCGAGCGTCACCTCCACCAGCTGCTGCAGGGGAGTCACCAGCCGCAGCACGAGGCGCTCCTCCACCCTCGGTACTCCCGCCACCGGCGCTCGCCACACCACCTCCGCTACCTCGACCACCTCCGGCAGCACCCTGACCGCCCCTCCTGCCTCTCCTACCCCTAGACCGAGAAGAAGACGTAACAGCAGCTGCGGTCACGTTAGTAACGGCAGCGGCAAGGGAGGTAGTGAAGGTAGGCAGCTGAGGGACAGTGTACCCGTGAAAAAGTGGAGGGGGCACAGCACCAGACGTGGAGGCAACCGAGCGGAGGTTGCTCTCGACGTCCTTGAGGGCAGACTCAAGGACGTCGATAGTGAGCTCGCTAGGGTGCTTCAGAAGAAGCGCGTCACGAACCGAGGCAAGGCGGTCAGGGAGGCTAGTGGCGATGAAATAGATAGTAATCGCCATAGGGGGAGGGAGCAGTGCAAGCTGTTCGTCAGTGCAAGCAGCTCGGAAGCTGGAATCGAGCGAGCGCAGGTGGGTGATCAAGTCAGCAGAGCACTCAAACGAGGCGAGTTCAGGAAACAGGAATGGGAGGAATTGACGACCAAGAGAGACAGTGGTGGGAGTAGCGTAGCGGGCCTTGATCGCAGTCAGGAACTCACTAGCCGTGCGAACCTGAGTGAAGTGGGTCTCCTCAGACTCAGGGAGGAGGATGTTAAGGGCGATGCAGGCCGCAGCATCACGCGACGTCCACGCTGTAAGGTCAGCACGCTGGCGGGCAGAACGGTCTCTGTCGGCAGAGCTAGCGTCACCGCCTGTGAGAGTACGACGGCTTATGCCAGCCATGCATGCTTGCTTTTACTTTATTACGCCATTTCTAGTTTAGGTTTATTTTATGCCTACATGAATTGCTTCATATCCTAGGCTAGGTGCTTTTCTATATTTTATTATAGTTATAGCACCGAGCTAGGTTGCGTACACCGAATTCTGGGCTATTCGGTTGCCACCGAATTGCCTTCTACCGAATTCGGGAAGGGTCTGTTCGGGACGCTTCGCGACCCTCGAAACCTTCGCGTAACACTTGGTAATCAGAGCCTGTTTACATGCGACAGTTTTTCGACCGCTAAAACCGAGTCTTCAAAAACCGCGGGGGCGACGCCTGTTAAACACCGATTTCGGGTACGTAAAACCGGTTCCGTGTTTTTCACTCCCCCTCGTTTCGGTTTTTTGAATGCGCATGTCGGGCATGGAGGGCCAGGGCGACAACTACGCAACGACGAGCGACATCGCCAGCCTCCGCACCGACGTGGAACAGGTGCAGGCTGCGATTCGGCGAATCGAAGCCCTCATGACACACCTCCGCAGCAGCAGCGAACGTAGCAGCGACGGCAGCAGCAGCAGTGGCGACACCGACATTTCACGGACCGATGGCACCACCGTCGCCGAACCTCGAAGCAGCTCGCCCGAGGCTCCCCGAAGCGTTCGATCCCAGCGCGAAAGGATCTGATGTTCGACGATTCGTGGCGACCCTCGAAATTTATTTCGAGGCCATTGGCTGTTCGACCCCGACACACGACGCAGCACGAATTCGGCTCGCAGCGACACTGTCGTGGCCCGCGGGGAGAAAACGTAGGCGCAGTTCCAGGCAGACCTCATCAAACGTTTCGAGCCAATTAATATGACCTATATGGCGCGGCAGCAGATACACCGGCACATGTCAAGATAACCGGTAGTCTTAGGAGCCATAGCTAGGAGAGTCCTAGCTAGGCAAGAGAGTTTAGGCGAAAGAGGAGGGTTGCACTAGCAAGAATGGGGATACAAATAGCAAACCCTAGAAGGGTTGTACTCGCTACAGAGCACCCCACTACAGGCTAGAGCATATTATTCTGACAGCACAAACAGTACAATAGTATAGCATAGTACACGCAGCAGATGGAGCTACTGTTCAACCGCATTACTGACCTGACCGAAGGCGAAAAAATCCAGGCGTACACAGAAGGGTTAAAATTGGAGATTCGCCGACAAGTAAGTGCAGCAAACTACAGTAGTTATCGCCACATCATGCGTGCTGCCGAGCGATACGACGCATTGACTCGAGGTCAACTTGAAACACAACGTTTCGGGCCGAACCATACATTCACCACGGAGCGATCGGCACCCCCCACGTTCGCCGAACCGATGGATATCGACAAGTTTGACGCGAAGCAGCAACCGACAAAATGCAAATTTTGCGGCTTAGCAGGGCATCAAATCTTGTCGTGCTACAAAATGAAGAAAGCACGTGCGGCAATGCTGGGTAGCAACAGTGGAGCACCCCCGAAGAAAAACAAACGGGAATCGCCAGTAGCCGCGGATCGACCTGGCGATCGCGTAAAGATCCAAAAGGCAGAAAAGGGCGACGACGTGGCGACTTCGGAGCGGGTGAAAAAAGGAGAAAATGATGGCGCGAATTTAAAACGTCACGACCGGCCGGCATCAGGGGAAATCGCCGAGGCGAATGGAGGCTCCGCGAAACCATGACCGTGAAACTCCAGCCGAACACCCACGAAAGTAAGAATTCGTTAAAAGTATCCTATAAAGATACTCTAACGAAAAACATTGCTTCTCGTGGTTTTCAAGCCTTTGAGAAATTCAGGTGAGATTTAGATTCAGCTGCCTTCCGTGCGGCCCCCCGGCGTGAACATCATGAAGAACCAGTGGGTGCTGATGACGAAGTACCGCATCGACGACACCGTCGAGTGCGAGAAGGCGAGGCTGGTCGTGAAAGGCTTCACGCAGGTGTACGGCGCCGACTACGACGAGACGTACGCACCGGTGAGCGGCTATGTCACGCTGAGGATGTCAAACATTGCATGTTTATATTGTCTAGGCTGTAGTGGGTTACACCTTAGGGGGTACACAAAGTTAGGGTTTCCTACTTGTACCAAACTCTGTTCTAGTTCATTCATTCCTGCTCAGTTATTTCTGACATGGTTTCAGAGCAGGTCCTTCGCTAGGACTGTTCTTAGGGCCCACCGACTTACCTACCTGCTTACCTTCGCTTGTTTCCGGCCCCGCTGGCCCCGTCGATCTAGCACGATCTAGCGGCCCTGCGGCCCCGTCGAATTTTTTTTTTTCCTAGCGGCCTCTCACGGCCCCCGTCGCGTCGCCCCTTAGCGCCCCGATCGGCCCCGTCACGCCGCCCGCGAACCGCACAGCGCGCCGCGCTCACAGCCCGCGAACCGCCCGCGCACAGCCCGCGACCAGCCCGCGCAGCCCGCGCACAGCCCGCGAACTGCCCGCGAGCAGCCCGCGACCTGCCCGCGAACCCCCGCGAGCCGCCCGCGACCCGCTTACGCAGCCCGCGAGCAGCCCGCACAGCCCGCGCTGAGCCTGCGCGGCTCGTGCGCTGACCGCCGCCGGCCCGCACGCTGCCCGCACTGCTCCCGGCCCGCCGCTGCTGAGCCCGCAGCCGCCCGCGCACCGCCGCTGCTGAACCCGCCGCCGCCCGCGCACCGCCGCTGCTGAGCCCGCCGCCGCCCGCGCACCGCCGCTGCTGCGCCCGCTGCCGCCTGCGTATCACCGCTGCTGAGCCCGCCCCTGCTGCGCCGGCTCTCGCTGCCGCCTGCTGCGCCTGTGCACCACTGCAGATCCTACTACTACACTTCCTGCTACTGCTGCTTGTGCGCCACTACAGTCCGTAGGCCCCACCGGCCCTGCTGACCCTGCGCACGCCTGTTCAGTGACTTTACTGCTTCTACTACTACCGCTGTCGCTATGGCTAGTCCTCCTGTTCTAGCTTTCGACGCCGAGGGCCGTCCGGTCAAATTCGAAACCTGGCTAGATGACCTGCACCTTTTCCTACAGCTCACTGCCAAGGAAGATATTACACTGTACGACCACGCTCTCGGCCATGCGACCGCCCCACTCGCTACTGCCCCCCCAGCTGAGCGCTCACAGTGGCAGACCCGTGACGCGCACGCTCGCTTTGCTATTCGCAACTCCCTGCCGCTAGATGAGCGCGAGCACTTCGGCCAGTGCAAGACTGCTAAGGACCTCTACACAGCTGTAGTGGCCCGCTACTCCTCACCCGCTTCTGCCACACTAGGCCGCCTCACTCTCCCCTACCTGTTCCCCGACCTAGCCTCTTTTCACACTGTCGCAGACCTCATCACCCACCTTAAGACTAGTGAGGCTCGCTTTCGCGCTGCCATGCCTGATGAGTTCCTCGCTAGCAACCCCCCCCCGCTCTGGATCACCCTCTACCACGTTGTCACCCGCCTCCCTGACTCTCTGCGCCCTGTCAGGGACCAGTTCCTCTCTCGCTCCCCCACTGAGCTCACCATAGCCCTCCTCGAGAAGGAACTGCTTGCAGCCGAGGCTAGTATCGTCGCTGTAGGCACCTCTCGTGGCGACCCCCGCGGCCCCTTCTTCGAGGGGTGCTCCCCTTCCCCCCTCCTCCCCTCTGTCGCCTCTGCTGCTGCTGTCGACCTCCTTGGTGCTGAGAAGGTCGGGGCTGCGTCTGCTTCAGGCGGACGACGCAGGGGCAGGAGTGGCAGGAGTGGGGGTGGTGGCGGAGGAGGCGGGGGTGGAGGTGGTGGCGGTGGAGGTGCGACTGGAGAGGCTAGTGGCGGC